GTACAAAATGTGATCAGAACACTGTTGGCACATACCTTCACGTTTTTTGGGAGTGTCCCTCTGTGTCTGGTCTTTGGTCCAAGGTGCATAGTTGCCTTGAAAATATTTTAGGATTTCCCATTCCTATGCATCTCCCCCTACTTCTATTCAATGATGACTCTGTTCTCAGTGGCAATACCAGATTAGCACAGAGGAAAGTTATATTTGCAGGATTGACTGCTGCTAAAAAGGCTATAATACATTCATGGTTTTCTCCAGACATCCCATCAGAAAAAGAATGGCTAAATCGTTTTAGAGACATTGCTCTTTTAGAAAGGTCATTGGCTGTCATACATAAAGTGCGAGCATCTACTGTGCAGGCCTGGGACTCTCTTATCAGTTCTCTTTCTGACATAACATTGCTTGCTCGTATATAAGGTGTTACTGTGAATTAGGTTGTCTGACTGCAAGACTCCCTGTCATCTAATGCAACGAGTTACCACTGGTGGGTCTGCAACTGTCTGTACTTTTTATTTACTTATGTGTACAATATATTTTCTCTCCTTAAAAATTCTTAGTGGCAAGGCAATGGCACTATGTTTGTAATATAGTGTTCAAATTGTTCAATAAAAAGTTTGTCACAAAAAAAAACCAAAAAACACAGCAGCAGGACCAGGAGGACGGTAGACTGACACACAGTAGAATGGATTTGAAGAACCCACCTTGACCATCTGGGACTCAAATGAAGTGAATTCCTGGGTCTGAGTCACTTTGCATGTGCAACTGTCCCTGTATACAACAGCCAGACCCCCCCCCACGACGACAGGGGCGGGGCTTCCCGACAGCAGAGCAGCCAGCTGGACAAAGTTCATTAAGATGAATAAACTCTTCCTCTCTCTGCCATGTCTCCGAAAGACACATTAAATCCAGCTTTTCTCTTGTGAAAAGATCGTTCAGAGAGAAGGATTTATTTGCAATAGACCGAGCATTCAACAGGCCGATATGCAAAGTTGATGACGTCACGGAGGCAGTGTCCGCGGAGCGCAGCGGGATTGGTCGAAGGCATGTCCAGCGGTCACGTGGGCTCCAGCTGGTCCGTGTGGGCAGAACCAGTGTAAATACAGAAGAGTATGGAGGCGATATAAGCCACTGACCACTACTCCAACGCTGTGTAGGCTCCTGGACTTTCGTTGTGGTCCAAGCAGACGGCAGCATGGATGTGCTGTCGCACACAATGAGGAAAGGGATCCAGCGCAGACACCTTGTGCGTTCTCCATGGCCGAGGATGGCAGAGCCCAGGCGTGCTGCAGCGCGACATCTTCGCTTGACCTGGACTCCGGAACGCGAGCCTCTTTTCTTCGATTTCCTGCAGACTTTGCCCGGAGCCGGACAAAGCAGCAAGTACTCAGGTGAGTCGGGGTCGATGATAAAGGGAGGAGGGAACGCTTGTTTGTACCTGCCCCGTGTATCAAACAGGCCCTCCATCGACTCTTTGATATGAAACAGAGAGTCCCGATCATAGATCCGTAAAGGAGAGACACATCCATTTGAAATACGGGTTGATATGATCACATATGTTGTAAAGATGACCATTAGAAAACTATACAGCAGGAGACGAGCCATGGCACTGCCAGTCACAGGCGCCATCTTGAGAAATCACTGTGGTCAATTCTTGAAGAGAAATTGGGGAGAAGCAATCTAAATATATATTAGGTTCTACTATTACTACTATTCTTAAAACCTTCTGAATTCACCTGTCTTCGTTTCCCTTCGATGCCTGCAGCTAAACATTTCAAAACCTGGTTAAGTCGCCATGTATATCGGCCTTGTGACAAGCTAACTTTACAGCCTGACAAAATATGCTTTAAAGTTGCGGTACGTGAACACAATGGGCATGATGGGTCCTCATTTACCCACAGTTTTAGGTTCTGGGGGGTTGGTAACACATCGTATGTAGCCCCTACCAGGAATCTAATACGATTCTCCTCCATACTCCACAGGTCCCTCCAACTAAGCTTCCTCTTCTCTACACTTTCCCAATTCAACCACTGTCCCTGTTTAGCCTGGGCCACTACCTTTGCACCCCTTACTATCTCTTCCTGTCTGCGTATCTGTTCTACAACCAGCTTTCTTTTATCTTTGAGGCCTGCTGTATTCCATACCGGTTTACCTGAGCCAAGCCCCAGGCCTCCCCGGCCAAACTGAACATTACCTACAATCTCTGCATGTCTAAGAGCTGCCTCTGCCTCCTGAACTGCCGATCTTGGGTTCCACTTCCTCCCCTTGGTTGGATTTGGAACCACACTCCTAACTACCACGTCCTTACTCCCAGATAACAAGAGCTCTGTCCTGACCTTGGTACATTTAAATTCCTCTGTTAAACTAGATACTGGCAGCTGAAGTATCCCTTTTCCATACAATGCAACACTACTTAGGCACCTAGGAGCGCCCAACCACTTCCTAATGTAGGAGCTAACCGACCTTTCCATTCTCTCCACAACAGATATTGGAATTTCATAAACTGACAATGGCCACATTAACCTAGGATATAGCCCAAATTGCAAACACCACAACTTCAACTTTCCTGGAAGTTCTGATTTATCTATTCTATCCAATCCTTCAGCCACATCTTTTCTAAATTTCACCACCTGTTCCTTATCATTCAACTCTACATTGTACCACCTACCTAAGCTCTTTACTGACTTTTCCCTAATTGTTGGGATGTCCTCATCATCTATGACAAACTTCCTATCACTTAACTTCCCTCTACATATCGAGATGCTTCTAGATTTACTAGGCTTGATTTTCATGCTGGCCCACTTGAGGTTCTTATTTACCTTCTCTAGTAGCCTCTTTGTACATGGCATTGTTGTGGTCACCAGTGTCATGTCATCCATGTAAGCCCTAACTGGTGGAAGATGCAACCCATTCTGCCGTCTCTCCCCACCTACCACCCACTTAGAAGCCCTGATGATTACTTCCATTGCCATAGTAAATGCTAATGGAGAAATTGTACACCCTGCCATGATGCCTATTTCTAGCCTCTGCCAACCTGTTGTGAAACCTGCTGTACTTAGACACAACCTAATATCCTGAAAATATGCTTTCACTAAGTTAACAACTACCTGTGGCACTCTGAAGTAGTCAAACGCACTCCAAATGAGGCTGTGCGGTACTGAACCAAACGCATTTGCAAGATCTAAAAATATTACATGTAGGTCCCTTTTGTTAATCTTCGCTGCCTGAATCTGGTGCCAGATCATGCTAGTATGCTCTAAACACCCTGAAAAACCTGGTATTCCTGCCTTCTGCACCATGGTATCTATTAAGCTATTCCTTTCTAAGTAGCTAGCTAGTCTCTGCGCTACTACACTAAAGAAAATCTTCCCCTCTACATTCAAGAGAGAAATCATCTGGAACTGGCTAAGGTCCACAGACTCCTTCTCCAATGAGGACACCCCCTGCCGTACGCCGTGCTGTTGGGATAATTTGTTTCTCCCAAACTATTCTTAGCTGTTTCCATAAAAATTTAAGGGTATCAGGCGCACTTTTATAAACCCGGTAGGGGACTCCATTAGGCCCTGGGGCCGAAGAAGCCTTTGCACGCCTGACCACCTCCTGAACTTCCTTCCACCTAGGTGGCCTGACATCCATCTCATGCTCTGTCCCCCCTAATGGAGGGATATCAGGTGGGAAACCTACTATCCTATTCTTCTCCAAATCTGAATACGTGTTTCTCAAATATTCTTCAACCTCTAACCTTTCTGCTTTGAGCTGCCCTCCCTTTTCCTGGCTGAACAATCCTTTAACAAACTTAAAAGGGTCCCTGAAAAAACCTGTCCTTACATGTTCCTTCTTCCTCCTCTTTTTTCTGAGATACTCTGCCCTTCTAAGAACTGCTAGCCTGCTTCTCAACTCCTCTTGCAACACATTAATTCCCTCCCTTTCTTCTTCTGTAGCCTTTTTCCACTGCTTTCTTAACTGTCTCCTTTCCTTGACTAACTTCTCTATTTCTCTTTGCCGCCTAGACTTACCTGACTGTACCTTCTCACTCCTCTTTCTCTCATGCAACCCAAACCTCTCTACACCATACGAATAAATTATATCTCCCATCTTTTCTAACCTTTCTGTTGCATTTCCTCTAAGCCTGCGTAAGATTACTGACAAATCTCTATTAACTATCTCCCATTCTTTACTGTCATTTGCTCTAGGCCATCTAACTCTAACCTTTTGCTCCATGGTTCTCTCTCTGACTGGCACACTGGCCTCATTGTCACCTGCATCCTCTCTTACTACCCCCTCCTCCTCCTCCTCCTCTTCAGTGGCAGCATTACTGATATTCTGCGAACTGTGGTTTTCTACCTGCTGCTGGACTTCATCCGACTGACTCGACTGACTTCTTAGGAAGTACTGATCAGTGCAGCTACTCTGCCCTTTCTTTGCTGCACACTTCTTCTTTCCCTGATGAGTTCTGAGGCCTTTTATTTTTTCTGTTTCTTTCTTTCTTTCGTTCTTTCTTTCTTTCTTTCTTTCTTTCTTTTATTTTATAATATATTCACAGATATTTATAATCGGAGTGTTCCAGTCAAATGTTTCTGTGTTTTACAATCTGTTTCTGTCCTGATGATTAAAATGTTTTTATATAATCTGAATAAATTGACTCCTGCAGCTTGGTCACTTTATGATGTCAGCAAATGTTCTGGTCCGTACAGAATTGACTCTGAAGCTTTGTGAATTTGGCTACTGGAG